TTGCTACAGGCCACACAGATGTTGCTTCACATGTTTTCCTAGTTCAGACCACAGTTGTCTTCCAGTATCAGAACAGGCGTGAGCAATGGCAGTCTTACTGTGTGGCAGGGGACAGGAGGCAGGCAGGGGTGGTATGAGAAAGGCTGGAAGGTGCAAGAAGGTAGTTGTTGCTTAATATGAAGACAAACTAGAGATGCAGACATGACAGATCCAGTGATCATTTATATTGTCACAAAACTAATAGGAAACTATCATGGGTAGAACACTACCCATGTGCCAAGATCCAGTGCCTTGAGGTAGTGTCTGGGCACTGCTCTGGTTATTAGGAAGCATCCCACCTAAGCTTCCTCAGCTTGTGAGGATTCTCCCTCGCATGAATCAATAAGGTCCGTATTTTAGAATTTTGAAAAATTAATAGAAATTTGAGTTCTTAGATACGTGTTTAGAGAGTTCTGGTAGCCTAGTGGTAAGTAATTAAGCTGTAAACCCAAAGGTACAGGGGTTGAATCCACCAGGTGCTCTGCAGGACAGAGATGAGCAGTGATTTATAGCCACGGAAAACCTGCTGAATGGTCAGGTATAAAATGCGTTGCCAAGTCAAAGGCAGGCAGTTTGAATCCGCCAGCTCCTTCTTGGGAGAAAGATGAGCAGTCTCCTTCCATTGATTTACAGCCTTTGAAAACCTGCTAGAAAATCAGCTTTGAGTCAGTTCTGACTCAGTGACATATAACAACAAAAACAGACACACACACACACACATGATTCAATGAGGTCCATTACCACCAGCTTTTCAGGTGTGTCCCTCATCTGGGAATCAGAATTTAGAAAAATTAATGGAAATTTGAATATATATGTATTATTTAGGGAGCTCTCATAGCCTAGTGGTAATTATCTATCTATCTATCTATCTATCTATCTATCTATCTATCTATCTATCTATCTATCTATGTATACAGAGAGAGAAATGCGATTACATTGTAGGTATTATAATTAATATGATAAAACAGAATATGCATGAATGATTACATGAAAAATCAACTTGTTTTGTAAACTTTTACTCAAATCACAATTTAAAATAAAATTTTAAAAAAACAACAACAACTCCAAGTGAATTGCCACAAAGGGTAGGAATACAAAGGAGAGAGGAGTTTGGAGATGTGATACCTGGCTTTGAAACCCAGTGTGAAAATGTCTAGGACTCTGAGATGGAAGGGGAGGAGGCGGCCTATCAGTACAATGAGGGCAGCCTCTCCGTGGAGGTCTTACCTCATTCCCTCGCCAATCCGACATCGCAGTAGTATGATCACCAAATCCATTTATTAAGGAGAGTGATGCTGAAATAGGTGAGATGAGGTTTCTCAGTGGCACAGACAGTAAGCCCCAAGGGGGAACTTGAACCCAGGCAGTCTTAACTCAGAGCTCTGACGCCCAGCCACCATTGTATCAGTAGGAGTAAGTGGGAAGAGAGCTCCATCTGCCCGCTTGGGGCAGAAAGACTGTTCTTTCAGTCTCTGGTTGGAATGATGCTTCTTGCTAGGTCAACATTCTGTCTTTGTGGCTCTATTGTGAATTCATCAGACTGCTTGGATGCTTTACCCATTTGATATTTCCACCTCTAAGTTTTAACTCCACTTCTAAAGTTGATTGTCCTCTCCATTGCATTCTTGACAGAGACATGCCTGCCATTTGAGCAGTTGTTTTCCAATGGGTGAGGGGACCAGATATGAATGACCGAGGGAGCCTCTTCTCTCATTTTCCTGGACTGTGCCAAGCTCCTCCCCAGCTCAGTGCCTACTCCCTGGGTAGTGTCACATGCCTCACTGCAAGGAACATTCCTGGGGCCGGGGCCTGGCAGATAGCCACCGTCCATGCATCGCACAGTCAGGGAGAGACACTTTGTCTTTGCTACTTGCTCCTGTCTTGCATGATAAGTGGAGCTCTGGCAACATAGTCTGTAGGGAGTTGCACTGTTAAGCCAAAGTGGTGCCTCTTAGGTGGTTTGAATCCACTAACTGGTGTGGGACAACCTCCTTCCGTGTTATTTACTGCCCCCAGAAACCTGCTGGAGCTGTGAGTTGGTTCTGACATGAAGGCATGAGTGACCAGGACTAGAGGCACGTGGGGCAATTTCCACTGTTGGCAGCCCTGTGTTCAGTGGTGGACTCCCAAGCCATGCAAGGAGAGCACTGCTACGTGAGGAGGAGAGAATGGAGAATCCCACCGAAGGCATGTTTACCTGATCTCCCAAAAAGTACATCTTTGGGAGCCTGTAGTGCTGTCTTTGTAAAACTGCCCAATTGAGCCAAAAGAAATGAGTATGATCTTTAAAAGGTCAGACTGAGTCTGAACATAGCTCTTCTTCAGAGTGCTTTATCAATTAGAGACCAGAAGTTTTTCCTGATGATATTTATTTCATAAATGTAATTATTTTTCTAAAACATATTAAAATAGAAAACATGTTCTTTTGATCAATTTATACAAAGAAAATATCAATATAGTAATAAAAATACTGAAAATATATGAAAAGCACCAGAACATTAGAGAAATTATACTGGCAACAATTCTAGGAATATAATTTTTTTTTTGCAATTATACAATAAAGTGCTATTAAATTCAGTCAAAATTAGTGGCAAGATATAAAAACAGTTATGGTAATATGAAATTTGAGGCTAGCTTTACCAGCAGTCACATTAGGCTATTTGCAAATCAACTGAATAATATTTCATTAATATTTTCAAGGAGAATGTATGAATTTCTATTCCCAAATGAAAATAAAAATCTAAATCTAAATGTTGGTCCTTGGTAATTTGGTCATGAACCACTAATGACATTATTAGTAATAAAATTCTTAATGCTAGAGAAGCAATCAAGTTCCCAAAAGAATCACACATATGTGATTAAATAAAATCAAATTAAAAGTGAGTAAAATCAACTGTGAATATATATTAATATAGAATATAGATTAATCAAGACAAGTACAAAAGTATTTATGTGCCTTAGACTTTATCATGAATTTCCAATATTTCTGCCTAGTCACATTTAACAGACACAGATATTAACAAGACATGTTATTAAATACAGTAGTAAACAATGAAGCAGACAGCCAAGGATATTTTAGGGCATCAAAAGATTTTTATCATCTGAAACATTAAAGGGACACTGTTAGGACAATGCATTGCCAATTTTGACTAATTATTTCCTGATTTATTTGCAGAGGGACAAAGAGACATACACAAATACTCTGGGACTGGATTCTATTAAGAGTCCCAAATTTAACATACAAGACAACCACTGTGCGCACGCACACAGGGAGAGGCTGGGACTAGTACTTAAGGAGGACTGCAGTCCCTTTCACATCTGGAGTTGGCAAACTGAAACAGAAAAACCAATCCCATTAAGACAAAGTATCAGACCAGTGTCCTTTTAACGTTTTATTTCCTAGGTCAATGTCAAAGGAACTCTATTAGAAGATCATGTTTCCTACCTCAATTTCCGAGTTTTTTGCTTCTAAAGATGAATGTCGACACCATTATACCTCAGATTAACAGTAAAAACAGATTCCTAAACATGGCACAATCCAAACTCAAAATTTCATTTACAGGCAGATGCCTTTTTCTTTCACATAAAGTAGATTGACATTTCAATTGGCATGGACTGAAAGTGAACGCATGAGTGAGAGAACACTTAGCTTCATTGAGGCCCTATCCTGCACACTGGATCTTTAAAGGAATTAGGAAGCACACTGGGAATTGTGGCAACTGAGGCAGGAAGCCTAGCAAAGGCAGTTCTCCAGTTGAAAGAATTTACAGGCCACCAGGAGTCAGAAGGCTCATTCTTTACACTGAGAGCTAACACCTTGAGCATCTAAGTGTTATCCTATCTTTGTAAGTGCTCTAGTCTCTGGTGAAGTTTCCTTCTCAAGGCAGATTCTAACAAGGAAATGAAATGTAAATAAAATACGCTGTTATGGATCTCAGAATGCTGATTTTAAAAATCATCTAATTCCTTTTATCTAGAAAGAGGTTAAGTGCAATTTAGGGTCCACAGAGACTCCTCTGCTCTTGAAAGATAGTGAAGCTGGTCAAGTGCTGGCCCATCCCTGCCTGGCCAATGAACAGGTGGGGGTGGAGGCTGCGTTCTGGGTCCAGCCCCCAGGGAAGGCCATATGCCAGCCTCAAGAGGGTTAGGGAGTGGACCTGCCGGAAGAGATTCCCTTCTGGCTGTCATCAACAGAAGCCAAAGAAATTCAATGAGACTCTTGTTATCTAACTTCCATCTAAAGGACAGTGTTCATTTTAAAAACAAAAATTCCAGATTACGAAAAGGCAGCCTGTTGATAGGCAGCCTGTTGATAAGGAACACTGGCTGAAAGGAAACCAAGGCGCCGAGTGGCTTGGCATTAGAGATCTGTACATTCCCAAAGAATGGTGGCTGTCATCTGGAAGAAAGTCTCCAAATTACAAAGTCATGATTACATAAATTATTCAGTAGAAGTTGGTTTTCTTTTTTCAATATACATGTTTCCCTATATACATAGTATAGAAAGGCAGACACTTTCAGCTCAGCTGTAATAATTCCATCATAAAAAGCAGACTGCATTTTTTTGGCTGCAACAAAGCATTTAACATAACACTTTTTTTCCCCAGCTAGTATATACATGATAAAACTGAAAAGAGCTTTAAAGGCATTCAAGCCAAGAAGGAAAATAAAATAAATTACATTTAAACTATTAATTTACACAATGAATTTGCCTTTACTTAATAATTATATAATCTCTTATAATCAATTTCTTCAGCATTTTCAAGGTAATTCCTTATTCTAACAGTTTGTTTTGAAACCATGTGTCAATTTCCCTCTCCCCAACCAGTACATGTTTCCTTCTAGAAAGCACAGATGTACTTCTAGTACTTTCTAGTTTAGAGGAGAAGAGCTGGAATCTGTTACTTGTTTGTTCCGACTAGCGAGTGAATGAGCCATGTTGCCTACTGGGCACCACTTCTCTAACTGTACAACAAGTAGAAGAAAGAGATGACAAAAGCAAGCGAGAGCATCATTAGGGAAAGCAGGAGTTGTTGGAACCAGATACAACGCTGGACTTGGTCTTGAAGTTTCCTATTGCTTTCTAGCAAACGATTGAGCTAAAGAAGGGGGAAAAGGAGCAAAGAAGTGTATTAACAAAACAGTACTCACTGCTTACTGCCTATGAGTTGCCACCTTTTCTTCATAAAGAAGTATGTCTATGCCAAAGACCTTTCTTTATGCCAGTGGGAAAATATAATTTTGATTTCTTCCCCCCCTCCCTGAATGCAACTTTTTTTTGTTTGCATACAATCATTCATATACTGTGTGCATATACATTGTGCTTTATATAATCATTTGTATACACTGTATTTCATATAATTAGTTACTATTGATCTCCTTCTTTTATTTTTTCTTTTATTTATTTTTTAACCCCTTCTTTTCAAGGCCCCATTGAATCAATCCTATTCCTTCACCCCCTCATCCAGCTCCTAACTTCTACTCACCTAGTGATTTCCCTCCTTGCCCTTTTCCCGCCCCTTCTCTTTTTCCCCCTTCCCCTTTTGAACATTTATACACATCTTTCTTAGTTTTCCTTCTGTTCACAGTAATGACCTTATGCAGCATTTGTCTTTAAAAGGCTGAGTTATCTCACTCAGCATAGTGTTCTCTAGACTATCCCATGTTATATAGTATTTTACAAAATCAGTTTTTAGTGCTGCATAGTATTCCATCTTGTGAATGTACTTGTAGTCAGGAATTGTGCAACCTTACCTGTAGACATATATCTTCAGTGGTTTTATCTGCCATGTTAAAAGCACCGTCTTTTAATGTAAGTGTGGTTGGTTTACAGCTTTCAATAATATGACATCTTAATCTATAAAAGCCAAAGTAAACAGAACTTTAAGAAATTGTTGCATCCACACACCTTCGGGCTTTTATACACAGGTATACATAACACCTGAGATCATAAATATGGGTAACTACAGCTTTTTGAGAATTCACTTCTCACCCCTTTGCTTTTATGGGGGATCTGCATTAGTACCTATTTTTGATAACTCAGAGACACTCAAAATGGCTGTTCACTTTATGAAAAAAGGCAGAGAGTGAAAGTGGCCTTAAATCTTAGTTTTGCAGAGAGCCACTAAGGAAAGAGGCAGTGATTGCAGGAGCGACTAGTATGATGCCGCCAAGCTTTTTCTTGGGGAGGGAACCACATCCCATGTCAGGCCACCATGGCTTTGTAGTGTCTGTGAACGCCATAGTTGCTGCAGTTTTAGGTTGTATGTGCTATTTGGTGTGATTTGGTAGGTTAATTTTGGGGGTTGGGAATGCTCACAAATTCTTCCCTTAATGTCACTTGCTTTCCTTTATGCTGTTCTGGTTTAGGAAAGGTTTCATAGGAACGCTCTATTTTCAGTTAGGGGAAAAAACCTGTTCCACTCAATTATTTCACAGTATGCAATGGGCAGCTTTTGCTAAGGTCTTCAGTACAATTCACCAAATATCTTAGGATCGAAGGATGTGATCATTTTGAGATAGCAGATGGCACTTGCTGGGCCTTCCGCACCAAACCACAGAGGCCGGCACTACCTGTGATCCCATCTGGACAGGAAAGTCCACCAAACAAACATACAAAGCCAACCTACACACTCATCCAATTTAGGGGCACCATTTCATCAGTCCTTTAAAGTCATTGTCAATACCTTTTGCACCAGTATTTCTTAATTTTTTCAAACTGTCTTTTTTGAAGAAAAAAACCCCACCAAAACTAAAATTAAAAAAAACCAAAAAACACCAAAACAAGCTCAAATCATTCCCAATAACCAACCCAAAACAAAACAGCTCCTTTGACATTGAGGCAGTCCTCCTCCTGATCCTACACCGAGTCCTCCCACTAAGCGAAACCTGTGGAACCACTATCCTGCTTCCATCTCTACAGCTTCCAGATGATGCTTCAGGGCCATGGCTGCTGCTTTCCGTCAGGTCATGAGTCACCTCTGTGACGTCAACATCACTGCACACTGAGCCCTCCTCATCCTTCCTGATGTGATGGCAGCACAGGACACCACAGACAGTGGCACATGATACTTGTAGGAAGTGTCTCCCCCTCAAGGACAGTCACCACAGGGCACAGAGCCTTCTAACAGCGCTGGCTCACTCTCCACTGTATGGCCATCAAACAGTCCTCCAGACTTGGGCATCCCTCTTGTGGGGACAACTAGGCCCCTTCTTGTTCTCTTCTAATCCACACACAGGAGAGTGACCTTCTCCTGGGAAACCCATGCCTCATTCTGGGCGCTATTAGCATGTCGTCCTCCTCCTCCAGGCCTGCCTGCCTCTCCCACGTTCTCACCTGGACCTTTTTAATGGGTTCTACAATCTTGCAATGCCTTTTTGGAAGATTTCCTTCAGCCTTGACCTTTACTAGTGGCCCTCCTAGAAAATGGGGCACTACCAGTACCTACCTCACACTTTCGTGTCAGCAAACACCAGAACATTTAGGGCATAGGATGGTGGTGGTGCCCAGTGAGCTCTATTTAAGTGCCAACTCTTAATGTCCCTGCTTCACCTGTGCCTGCCCAGGTTCTATTTTCCACACAGCCTTCAGAAAACTCCTTTGAAAAAATAAGCCAGTCACCTCGAAGCTCTGCACAGCACTGCTCACTCAAAGCCTGAGCCTCTTGCTACAGCCTGATTTGGCTCCCACTTCCTCCTCTGACCTCCTCACCCACTATTCAAGGCCAACATTCCCCTAGCCACTCCCTCTGCACGGGCCACCTTGCTGTTCTGCTGAGGGCATAAGCACCCTCTTGCTGTTCTATTGGTGATTCTCTGTGCCAACAAAGCTCTTTTTGTCAGTTATCTATGGAGTGTGTTCTCTCATCTCCTTCAGCTTCTGCTCGAATGGCTGTCTTTTACTACCCTGCACAGGTTCCTCCGTCTCATTAGTGACACAGTGAGCTGGTAACCCACTGTGGGGACGCTGTACTGTCCACTGTAGGATGCCAAGCTGCCTCCCTGGCCTCTACCCACTCAGTGAAAGTAGCCCCAACACCCCCCAACTGTGACAACCAAAAAGATCTCTAAGCATTGTCAAAGCCCCCTGGGGACACAGCCTGCCTGGGGCTGCAGATCATTGCTCTAAACTATGGGAATGCTCCATTAGAACTCACTAAAATGGGAACACTCAAATGAGCAAAAGCGAGCCACTGCGCATGCCCTTCTGTAGTCTACCCTTTCTTTGTGTATTTTCAAGGTACTTATCACTGTCTGACACACTTATATGACCAAATACAAACACCTACATATTCATAGGAGAATGCTATGTGTGTTTTTCTTTCCTTCTAATTCTTCTGCATATAGAGACAGTTTAACCATTTCTTTGCCGATCTGGTTGACTTTTATTTCCTCCTCTTGTCATATTGCCCTAGCAAGCACTTTCAATACAAAATTGAAAAGAAGTGGTGACTGTGGGCATCCTTATCTGCTCCCTGTTTGCAAGGAAAAGGTTTTTAGTCTTTCTCCATTGGGAATGATGTTGACTCTATTCCAATTTTGCTGAATGTCTTTATCAGGAAGGGTTGTTGGATTTTGTCAAATGCCTTTTCTGCATCAATTGCTAAGATCATATGGTTCTTATTATTTACTTTTTTAATACAGTGAATTACGTTGATTGTTTTAATAATATATTACAGACATCTTTCCACACAGAAATCACAGACACACCTCACTTTTTGAATGGCTCTGGAGTCCTAGGCATCAGAACTGATCCGATAGCAATGGCTTTGCTTTCTGAGGCGGTTTTTGGCTTAGTTTTGGGTTTTGGTCATAGTTAGATTGCTTTTTAAGTAGGAATATGCCTAGCTGCATTTCACCAGTTTTTCCTGGTGATCTCCTGGGTCCTTCCCCTCCCACTTTGTCTTAACACAAACAAGGCTGCACCACACATTCGTGTAGGCAAGGTGAGCGTTCCCTATGGAAAACTATGGGGGCAAGGGCTGTTGGTCTGGAAGCTGGAGAGGTCAGATCCTCACCCTGGCCTGCAGTGCCTTTCTGCTTTGAGCTGCCTGTCTCAGAGGTACTAGCTGTCTTTCACATTTGTGCTCCCTGAACCTGGAGCCACACCAGCTAATGAAACGCCTGCCTCACTCACGTTGCCACCAGTTTTCCGATTCTCCCCAACAAACATCTGAGGGCTTGTGGGTGACAAGCATACCTGTGCTCCATCACTTTGTTTTTGGGAACTTCTTTCCAGAACTGCGCCAGCTCCGCTGGGCCTGTGCCAGATGACTGCTCCATTTCGGCAGCCATGATCAGAAAACGGTCTTGTGCAGAAACTGTGAAACCTGCATTCCAAAAGGGGCATTTGTCACACAAATAGGACCATTTACCCAGGGCAGGGCATGTGGATCAAGCCACTGTAGTAAAGAATCAAATGGTGCAACTACCCTGAAAAACGCAAAATTCTGAAAATGTAGACTTATTGGCATTCTGATACTCAGTTTCAGTTGCTGGTTTTCAACAGTCCTACTTGTTGACCTACTTGGGTGAAGAGTTGCACTGCCAACCCAAAGGCCGGTGGTTCAAATTCAGCAGATGCTCAATAGGAGAAAGATGGGCAGTCTTTTCTCCATGCAATGTAACAGCCTCTAAAAACTCACAGACTTTGACATGCTTTAGAAACAATTGACTTTTGAAGTTGAGAAAGGAGATTAAGAGACTCATTTGACCTTCTCATTTTATGAGACAACTCAGAAGAGTAAAGTGAGATGACTTGCTAATATTCCTTTCATTTCAAGGTGTGAGTCCAATTCTGGTGTCTCAAGTCCCAGCCCCAGGGACTCCCCACAACTCACCCCCGTGCGGAGACACAACTATATCAACCGACGCCCCAGGTTCACAACTGCTATTGCTTGGCTTGACTCTGTATTTTTCTGGTGCAGTTGTTCTCACCTGTTTATGAACAAAATATTTTTTTAAGCAGGGGGGAAGGGAGCTTTAACAAATGAGGAGTTAGTTATCAATGAACAAATCCTTGACAGAGCAACTGTGTTACTTTTATGCATACAAGGCATTCCCTCTATCACCAAAAAGCAAAAAAAATCTCTCCTCCATCTATTAAAATACCTGCAACTCCAATGTTTGTTTAGTCTGTACATTAGAACACGTGGTGCCACAGTGTTCAGAAAGTAAAAAGCAACAGACAGTCAAAGCCCATCTAGAAGTTTCAAGTGGCTTAATTGAAATTAAACAGGAGACCAAAGGAAGTTAATGCCTACAATATGGAATGATGGTAGCGGTGAAAGAGTTTTAACAATGCTAATTAATGTTATAGGTTAGTATCCAAACTGAACTACACTTTAGAATATATCACATGTGTAGTGGGGGAGATGCACTTTCTGCTCTATCTTTCTCTGGTATTATGAATTAAAGTATTCATGCCAAGAACAGCAATTTCTGCTGGGCTTTTATTTGCAACAAACATTAAACCCTGGGATTAATTTGCCCATTAGCCTATTACTACACATTAAAGAGTGAGCTAGAGATCCCAAGGACAATTTTAGAAAAGTGATGTTGCTTCCTTAGAGGTGGGAGGCAGCACAGCATGTCTGAAATAGAAATAAAAGTACTGCTCAACTTCAGAATTACTGATCTTTCAATTATGTTCAAAACCACTCCCTTATCAAATTTTCAAACATGATCTATTTGTTATAATTATATCTATAAATATTTACCTTAAATGCAACTGTATTTTTAGTTATATTTGTCAACACTATTAGAGATTTCTTCTCTCCAGATTCTGCAGTTCCAAAATACAGCTCTTCTGCTGGGCTATGATGTGACAAAAACATAAAGCATATGTTTCATTCAGAATACATGACAATGAATTGTAAGCATGAAGAAAAAGATGGTATTAATATCCTATGCCCATTTGTACAAAGCAATCTCGTTAATAAAACTGTGAAACAAATACCTAATCTAGTTTTATCTTAAGTTTACTGATTTGATACATGCTATTTAAGAAATTCTGTGGTCTTCCCCAAGACTGACAGCAAAGTAGGAAAGAAGAGAGACCGAGGAAGATTTGGATTAGCCTTATACTCAGCACAGTGTTATGGAGCATTCATTTAAATTATTAGGAAAGTTACAGGTAAGAATCAAAGAAAAGATGGTAATACGGCTTCAACTTTACCTAATTCCATATTAAGTAGAACAGAGTATTGTTTTAATTTACCAATAGAGAGGAATCAAACTCACAAAAGGAAAGTTTACTAGAGATGTGGACAATTTCACTAACAACCATTTCTCAGTCACCATGTTACTATGCTAGTTCAGTGGTTAGAGTGCATAGTTACTAGGTAAAGGCTTTTTTCTAAGTAATAGGGAAAGGGAGGCATAACAACACAATGTGCAGTGAGAAGTGAAGAGGTAATTTATCGAACACCAAAAGTAACAAGTTTCAAAAGTCTAAATGGACTGTTCTTGGTCACTGTCATGGCCGTGACCTAAAATAACTAACTCAAGTAAAGCCTGGGCAGTTTAAGGACATTAACCCTGCTGTGTCAGATTGCTCAAGACTGTGCAAATGAGACTATTTCTATTTTACATAAAGAGATGAATCACCAAGATGAGTCTTTTGGGGGAAAATGAAAAATAATCTGTTTTAAAAAGGGGGGGATTGGCAAAGAACAGCTGTGGAAAACAGCAAATGCACCCCTATACATACAAAGATAATGTTGTTCCAACTATAACAACTCTCGCCTGCTCTTCCGCTCATAACTCTGTATTTATAAGCTGGAACCGAAGTTTTTACTGATCTTCACTGAAAAAAAACAGAAAAACTTCCAGATAATTAGAGGGGGAAAATGAGGAATAATTTTTTAAAAAAGGGGGATGGCAAAGAAAAACTGTGAAAAACAGCAAATGCCCCCCCTGTACATATAGTGTTCTTATTCCAAATATAACAACTCTGAAAATACCACATTTACACAGATAATGTGCATGTGACATGCAGGTTTTGCAAACTGTGAAACCCCTTAAGTGACATGGATGCATTAGAAATGCAGTATACATAAACAGACTAAGTTTGTCCATTAACTGACTGTCAGATTAGATTTCAAAAAGAGTCTGGATGTATTGTTCATGAGAGACACACACAAAACACAGTTCCAAGGTTTAAAAGTTTCAAGTAAAGGGATAGGCCATCACTTAAAAAGTTGGTCTAGCACTATTAACATAAGGCTTAATTCAATTAGCCACCAAAACATCTTTAGTGAAAAGTAGTTTGTGCCCAATGGTAGAAGAAACAATCCTGAATCCTTTGGGTTGAAGAATAGAATAAAAGGAGAAGTAAGCTGAAATTTGGCTTTAATTAAAAAAACCAAGTTTCACGGTTCAGGTTTGGATTTGGGAAGGTCAAATGAACCAATGGCTAACATCAGTGTCATTTCTGGCAGCCTGGAATGTGCATAGGGAGAATGGTATCAGTAATAGGAAGAGAAACACTAGCCAGGTAGATATATTGTGAATATGTGAACATTGACTTTTAGCACCTAACATGGGGGAAGAGCCCGTGACACATAAGGAATAAGTCACAAAAATTAAACAACCAGCTAAAAGTAGCTGCTCTGTCTAAGAAGAAAGATTAATTTTGACATAACTCCTTTGTAGGTTCATAGCTTTAAAACAGTCCAAAAGAAAAGTTTTCTTAACTTTGCAGCTCCCTCAAGATGATCAGATATATTCTAAAGGTATGCTAATGAAATGTCCAACTATTTATTACCTGATATGCAGTAAGGGCCCTTTAAACACACTCAATGGTTTCTTGAAAGCTTTTGTCTTTGAGTCAACTTTTTCATTTTCTTCTGCCTTGGGACATGATTCTGCTGGGTTTACCTAAAGGTAAAAAATTACGAATAAAGAAAAGATAAAGAAATGTCATTTCACAATGGCAATAGGAAGAGTTTTAAAATTAATTCTACAGTTCAAATCCACCAGATGCTCTGCTGGAGAAGGAGGGGCAATCTTCTCCTGTACCAGTCAGATCCGATTTGACGGTACACACACACACACACACACACATTAATAATAATAACAAAATAAAATAATTAATTCTAAATTTTCATGTTATATTTGTACTACTATTAAACTTTTGATTATTCAGAAGAGGACAACCAAGGGCTTTTAAAAAAATGAGGTGGAGAAACAGGATCAAAGCAGAGCTTCAAATTAATTAGTTTAGGATATTTTAGACAAAACAATTCCTTCCAGAAAAGTTTTGCCAACCTTTATACAAAAGCATGACACTGGTCTTTTCTATAACATTAAAACAACTCTATTGGTCAGCTAGTCCTATTGTCCTCCATTCTTTTTACATAGAAGGATGCTGAAAGGATGCAAATTAAGGGACATACCCAAGTCACTCACCAATAGCAACTTCTGGCTCAAGGGGATTCTTAAAATTACCTTTTTTACAGGAACTGCCTGCTCCTCATTAGAAATGGTTTCCAAGGTTTCTTTCCCATCACTTTCTATATCTTCTTTACTTGACGTTTCATCCTCACTGGTAATAGGCCCATTTTCACACAGTGGTGTCTGGAAGTCATCATCTACGAGTGGTGGGTAGCTATACTTGAAAGGATCCTATCAGAAAAGAAGTGGCACCATTCTGCTAAGAGGTGGGCAGAGAAAGAATGCTCCTAATGAATTTAAAATTCATTTTGCTGGTCAAGACAACAGATTTAATTTGTTAGTGAAATTTAAAATGAAAGTGTTTCAATAGAAAAGGAAAGACAGCAATAATTGGTGAGGGACAAATGGCTAGCCATCTGTAGAAGAATCAAGTTGGATCTTTCCCTTACTTCTTTATCCGCACAACAATTTCAGGCGGCTATAAGCTTTAAGTGTATGTGTGTGTATGTTGTTGTATGCCATCCAGTTGGAAATGACTCATATTGCTGATCCTGCAGCGGGTTTTTAGGAAGGAGGCTTCCCATCTTTCTCCTTTGGAGCATCAGTTGGATTTGAACCGCCTGCCTTTGGGTTGGGAGCACAATCCTTTACCTGCTAGGCCATCAGAACTCCTCTGTGTGTGTATATGTGTATGTAAAAGCTAGCTAAACTCCAGAACAACACACAGAGCAATTTTAAGCAACAGTACGTGCAAGTAGGGAGAGCCTTACTAAACATACTACAAGAAATATTAATAAAATATGGAGCATGCAAAATGTAACACGAATGGTAGCAAACAGACAGATAAAACTGTGAAAATCAACAAGAAAAAGGTTCAAGGAGTCAAGAGCAGGTAAAGATGCTCTTTAGATGCATATTGGTAAACGCTATCAAAACTAACTTGTAGGACCACTAACTGAAAGTTATGCTGTTTGACTAGAATCTGTCTGTTGCTTTGAGGTAGGAAAAATAGGCTGCCTACCTAGGGAGCTTTGGTGCCCTAGTGGTAAGAAGCTGCCCTGCAATTCCAAAGGCACACGGTTTGACTCTACTAGCTGCTCTGTGGGAGTTGGACAAGCAATATCCTCCCTTGTGATTTACTGCCTCTGAAAACCCACTGAAGGGTTGAGGAGAGTTAGCTATGGGTTGGTGCTGACTTGATGACACACAACAACTCTCAGCAAGATTACAGCCTTAGCAACCTCATAAGTTGGAACTGACATGATGGCAGTGGGTCTGGCTTCGGGTTATATATTTACTGATACATACAGTGAAATATACAATAATAGTTAAAGAACCAAAGCAGACCTATATGCATCAGTACGGTTCATGTGTTTAGTATTGCTTTTGAGAAACTTATAAAATTATGTTAAACAGTGGTTCTGCTACAAATTTGACTATAATTTTGAAGAAATATCCCACAAACAAGAGAGAAGAGAAATTTAAAAAGCCTATTTTCGGAACAAAAAAGAAAACTCTTTAAAACTAAATGTTGTTAATTTTAAGTTAAAACAATTCCATGGGAAAATTTTTAAAAATAGAAAATCAAATACAGTTGCTATTTCAACCACAGGCAGTACTTTAAAAGAATCAGATTATGTTTTCAAGGGAGCAAATGAATGTGAAATATAAACCCTCAAATAGGAAAGTTACAAACGTCAAAATAAAAATACTGGTTCTTAGGTTTTGTGTTTTGTTTTTTTCCTTATTCAAAGGAAACAGACAAACAAAAGTACATACCAGAACTTTTCATCTTGTTAGTCCTATGTTTGAACTGAATATCATTTTACTAGGCAGGCAGTATATAAAGTAGATTAATAAATAAAAGAACTGAAATTTCAATCAAAGTAGCCCAAAACATTCCATATCCAAAGGCTTCATAGTTTATATTAAAAATTCATCATTATGACAACTTCATTGTAGTACAACATTAAATATTTAACATATGCATACTTAGTCTTGGCCACTTATTTGTAATAGTAAAATCAATAAACTTTTTTGATAGCATATACTTAATGTTATGTTGTTGTGGTGTACTGCTGAGTTGGAACCGATCCATAGCTGACCCTCCAGTGGGTTTTTAGAGGCAGTAAATCACAGAGGAGTAAACTGGCCATCCTTCTTCCACAGAGTAGCTGGTGGATTTGAACCTCATACCTTTGGGACTCCAGTGCAGCTTCTTACCACTAGACTACCAGAGCTCCCTCTCACTATTATATATTTAATAACAGCTTATAGATTTCAAAAAGCTAGAAAGAGAATTGATGCCTTTGAGCTGTGGTGCTGGAGAAGAGTACTGAATATACCATGGACTGCCAAGAAAACAAACAGGTTTGCCCTGAAGAGGGTTAAACCAGGCTGCTCCATGCAGTCAAGGATTCTGAAGCTTTGTCTAATATACTTTGGACATGTTGCAAGGAGGGACCGGTCCTTGGAGAGAGACATCATGTTTGGGAGGGTGGAGGGATAGCGCAAGAAAGGAAGACCATCTATGAGATGGATTGATTCAGTAACTGGGATAATGGGGGTAGGTGTGTCAGAGACAATAAGGTTGGCACAGGATAGAGCAGGGTTTAGGGCTCTTGTATGTAGGGTTGCTATGAGTCGTAAACAACTCGACGGCACGTAACAACAACTACAACAGTTCAACAGCAAAAAACTGGTAGCAAACTTGAGACACAACAAAAGTAAATAACTCAGGATTCTCCCCTACAAACTGGATATTGTATGGCTATAAACAAGTGTGAAAAAGCTTTGCACAACTGTGCCTAGGTAGTCTACTTGTTTAAAGGCTATGGGAGGAAGAATTAGATACATGTATTTGTTTTCATGAGTAACATACATCTCTGGAGATAAAGAAATTCAACTAGTGAGGGGGGTAGAGTAGTCAGAGATAAAAGTTGGGAGGGACACTTGTCAGGGAATACTCGTTTGCATCTTTTCAGCTCAGAATCATGTACAGGGTACCCTAAAGTTCGTACAACGTGACTATTACAGATTAAATGTCTGCAGAGTGGCTTGCTCCTTCAGGCTATCTGCCTCTGGATAGATCCAGAAATAGTCTAAAGGGCTATTATATGGAATAATTTTTTTAAGAAAAGCTTTAAGCATTATACTCACAGTTCCACCCATGTGGGGAGGCAGGTATTCTACACTGACATAGTCCTGGACTTCATTTTTACTCGTAAATTTCAACAAGCTCACTGCTTCAGGACCAAGCCAAGTTTTCACAAGCTTGAAAGCAGCTGAAGGGAAAACAGTAACTTTATTAAAATACAATTCCTTTTTAATTACAGTCCTTTAATTCTCATTTTCAGTTACTTTATTGTACGTGCTAACTTAGGCCTGCTGAAATTCCTTGGTGCTGTAATCTGTTAATACTTGTGTTTAAATGACACTCTATTTAATTCACATTCGTTAATTCCTGTAGGCATTTACATTGTCACGATCCTTTACCAGTCAAATGGTCCATGAAGATTCAGAAATATTAAATCACCCTGTGATTATTTATTATTTGCATGAATAAACTGGCCACGGTTTTGGGCCCTGAACACATCTACCTATGAGCTCAACCACTAAGAATTGCAACACTAAATCCAATTGCAGTGCTTTTCCAGGAACTGAGCGCAAAGCAGTTTGGCAAGAGTCACTTATGTCCCACCTTATGGTTGACATCCTCCCAATCTGCAAAAACCTAATCAAATCAGGAGGGGAAGGAAGCAAGCAATCCTCTTCATTATTATGGGGGTGAGCCAACTACCCAGACAGCCTTCTGAACACAAGTTTCCCGGCCTTTCCCACATACCCTTCAGCTGACAGAATTGTGGAGGATATATAAGAAGAAATTGTACTCCTAACCATTTAGTTCTTAAAAAGCAGCTCACCCGTCTTTACAGGGGGTCCATTATCCCTTTCTTCGTCTTTCTTTTTCATTTTAACTCTTTGGCGTGGCCTACCTTTCACTAGCTATGCCTCTGTCTTATTACCTTAATAAACCTTTCTCACTTGTTTGGCTAAATTGATGGCGGGGTGGGGGGGGGGGAAGCAGCCATTGAAAACTCTTTGGAACAGTATTGCTCTGACACATATGGGGTCCCCAGGAGTCAGGATCAGTACAATGACTAGTGAGGTTTTGCTTTGTATTCTCAACACAGTTTTAAGAAATTAAAAGAAGAATAAAGTATTAAAGGTACAAAAATGGCAATGAATACAATTTCAGGAAATAAGTCAGCATAATAAGCATTAAAAAATTCAGAATATTACATCTTTATTTTGGTTAACTATACCTTAAAATTTTTCTATAACATTTACATTTTCAATTTTAAAAAGTCTGTGATTGAATTCTATGTGACTTGAATTAATATAAAAATGGATTTTTTAATGATGGTTTTATTGAGGTATAGCACACATATACCATACAAGGCATTGATTTAAGTACACGGTGCAGCACTTTTTTGTACACTTAAGAGCTGTGCAACAATCACAACTGTCTAATTCCAGAACATTTTCATCATCCCCAAAATAAATCTTGTACCCATTCCTTCCACCTGCCACCTTCCAGCCCCAGGAAACCAACAACCTACTTCCCTTCTCTATGCACTGGCCTATCCTGAACATTTCATGTAAATGGAATCAGACCAAATACAGCTCCCTCTGACTGGCTCCATTCACTTAGCCTGTCATGAAGGGTCATCATCCATCTAGCAGCATATGTATCTATGGGTGAATGATACTCCATTATGGATAGAACATGTTTATCCATTTATCAAGCAATGGATAGCTGGGTTGTTTCCACTACTGGGTGAGTAGTATTTGTTAAAAAGCACGTGTGTGCATCACACACACACACACACACACACTCTTATAAAAAATACTGATGTTTAATTTTCTTGTGATGTCTGAATCTGGCTCTCCTATCATGGTAATTACAGTACCAGAGAACTAATGAGGAAGTCTTCTCTCCTATTTTGGGGAAGTGTCTAGGAAAGGCCTTGTATTAACTGTCTAAATATTTGGTAGAATTCATCAGTCAAGCTATCTCGTTTACGACTTTGCTTTGTTGGAATTTTGAAATTAGTGATTTATTACTTTTACTTGTTACAGTCTGATGAGACCCTCTATTTTATTATGAGTCAGTTTTAGTAGTTTGTGTGTTTTTAGAAATATATACATTTTATAAAGGTTATCTAATTTGTAGATGGATAACTACTCAAAATATTGTAATTATTTTTATTTCTAGAAATGAAAGAAGGTAGTAATAACCCTTTAGTAGCGATAGGTCATTAGTCATTTGAGTTGTTTTTCCTCTTGGTAATTTTAGCTAAGGGTTTGTGAATTTTATTGATCTTTTCAATAAAGAGTCAACTTTTAGTTTCATTGATTCTATTGTTTTTCTCATAAATAACTGATTCATCCAAGCAAAAATAAAAATATCCATCTGAATATAACATAAAACTTAGAATCACTTTAAAGTTGATAAATAATAAAGACTTTTTAAAATAAAACTATATCGAGATTTTTGTAAGGATGATGTGTTTACAGGGATTTGGGGTGGATTTTAGATTCAGCTCTCTTTCCAAGATTAACCCTTGAAGGCCAGGCCCATGTTCTATGATGTATCCTAATCTGTGGTGACAGTTTTATCTGAGAAGTTGAATATTTATGCTGTTTGTGGAGAACACTGATGGTCCCCTCCTGAGCCTGGATGAGAATGCTAGCCAAGTTTTCTCAGGAGTATAGCCTTGAGGTGCTTTAGCTCCAGATTCTACAAGTGCATGCCAAGTGTAATAAACTGGCTAGATTAGCAAAGAAAAAAAGGGAAAAAAGATTGTACTTTAAGAAAGTATAAATAATAAACTCACCGTTCATTATCCAAGGCATATCAAAGATAACCAATTTTGCTAAAAGATAAAAAGGGGAAAAATAACTGAATGAATGTGACTCAGTACCTTCACATTAATATCACTTATGCCTGGCCTTGCTGGTTGACTGAATTCTAATTTGGCAAAGCATGAGTAGTGCTAGAAGAAAACAGCTCAGAACGGTCAGGGGCCCACTCAGGATGACTGCTGGCACAAAATGAATACTGTCTCTGTCCTTTGACAAACAGATTGTCAAGGATATTGCTTTTGTTTGCAGAAAGGCAGGAAAGGAAATAGATGATGGCAAGTGAGTCTTTGGATGTAGCATGTCATGTTACTGCTGAAGGCCAACAAATGTTAACAAAGGTTACCAAGACCAATTTATGGCTTCAATTATAATTTTCTAGAGACACTGTTAAACCAATCTCACAGTTGCCTCTCTCCCCTTTTAATAAATTACGCATTATGCTTTAAGGAACAAAAAAATTATTTGTACTTTTCTTAATATTATTAGCTCCAGGAAGCCAATAATACCAAAGTATACAGAAGTGTTATTTGCATACTGAGATAAAGATATTAAATAGCCCAGTTAACAACTGTGAGAAAGAACAAGAAACCACAAAGGAGATCCAATTCATTCTTCTTTTCCAGATTAATCAAAATGTAATTTCATTCGTCTCTGAGCAGAGAACCTCCTAGAGTGTTTATATTAATGCAGGACAAGTAAAGCATAGGCAGCCTCCAGAATATGAATGAGCTCTGTTCCTAAGTCTGTCGTGGAGTCAAATTTGTATATAGAACAGTTAGGTATGGCTCATATCCAACTTCAGTTAGTCAGATGTTTGTCTTAGGATATAGTGTGCCTTCCTATGCATAAAAAAAATTAATGAAACACTTCTAGATACACTAAGGCTTCTTTAATATGATAATACAGTACTATTAATATTTTGCTGTGAACTGAGGCAGTGCTTGCTTGTTACTATAAACCATTTAATGTATTTTGACTTTTTAATATGGGAGAGTGGTTTGTAACTATATATATTATGTAAGTTGGACATTTGTAACCAGGGGACATTACATGTTTGTACATGTAATGAACACATTTTTGGCAAAGAGTAACCTTGGCGCTTCATATCTCAGTCTTCATTTGAGATGTGTTTAAAAGGCTCTTGACTCAAGATTTTAAGATATAATCTTTCCATTTCATGGCACATTTTGAAGGGAAATCAATTTAAGAATCCACAAAATTCAATGTCTGCAAATACACACATTATTTCTAGTCAGCTGACATTAACATGTTGGTGAAGTTGAGTGATCAAACCCGTCTTGGAAGAAGTAGAGTCAGAATGTTCCTTGGAAGGGAGGACAGCAAGGCTTTATCTTATGTACTTTGTATATGTGGCCAGGAGGGGCCAGTCCCTGGAGAAGTACATTATGCTGACTATAAAATACAGGATCATGAAAAAGATCAGCAACACAGACTGACATCGTGGCTGCTTAAGTGGGCTCCAATATAGCAATGATTGTGAGGATGGCACAATGCCAGGCAGTGTTTCATTCTGTTCTCCAAAGTCAGAGCCAACTCAACAGCACTTAACAACAACCACCACCACCTACCATCTAAATACATAGTGTGCTAATTAATTTTATATAGATCCACGAATTTATGAATCGTTTTCTCAAAGGATCTTGGATGTGTTTTATAGCAATGATATGTATACTACTTAAAAGTGTTTAGTCTCAAACTCCTTCAGATATTTCAATAATCAATGGATGTTTTGTCTTCATTTTGCAGACAAAAAAATCCAAACCCAATTAGACAAATCATATGAAATAGTGATTCCCTACTGACCACTGACTGTTACCGCACAGCATGTCTTAATGAACGTGAGTACATGCCAGACAAAGAATTTGTAAAGAATAACAGATTGCACAGGTTCCTCAGGCAGGATGCCAGTTAGCTTGGCCATTCTCCCTACCTAAAAGCATTCCCCAGTACTCTCTGAAGAAGTACAACGACAGGTCTAGGGGTGGCACTGACCATCGAGATCTAGCAAGCCTTTTGTCTGTTCTTCACTCCTTGTTAATATTTAATAATGCCCAAAGTAAGATGGTCTGGAGAGTTTATGCTTTAGGATCATCAACTGGGCCATGAGTCACAAAAGATCCCAAATGTAAGATTTTCCAGGCACTACCCAAGTGAACTGGTAACTTTTCCTTTTTCTGATGTCTCTATTGCCTTTCTTTTTTCACTTTCACCCCAATGAGATTCAATATACTTTCTCCAAGGAATCACCATCATAGAAACTGAATACATAAAAAGGGAACACATAATATTTAGGAGTTCTTCATTTATATAGTTAGTGGAAAAGCCACAATTACCAAAACAAAACTAAAAATTTAAATCCCCCAAATGCCAGATTCAAATGTAATATTCTCTTTTAGCCAATGGTTTTCTTACTGGTAAATGTTGAAGCAGTATATCATGCAATGTACTTTATCAATGCACATTGTTAATATTGATAATCACACAGTGTGCTTTATTTATCAATACTGCTTATCTGTTCATGTACCCAAGAATATTAATTAATGAATTAAATAATGAATATTTAAATATATACATTTCTAAATTAGTAAAATAGGGTAATCTTGGACACTTTTATGTCCTAGTGTGTATATGTATGCATGTCATAGCATGCCATGTAGACAGTTTAAAACTTATAATCTTAACTGTAAAATATCATGATTACTTATGAAGAATTTTCCCCTCTACCCACTAGAATGTAGATCTACGTCTACGAACACATTTAAAACATTTAATCAGAAAACAATGTTTTGGATGGAAAAGTCTAATAATATAAGGCTCCACAATTCTCAGACATTATCTACAGTTTCTATATGTTAGTACGTGTATAAAGGCATAAGTTACTTACAGAGGTATTTAGGATAATAAACCTTAAAGCAGTTGATGATAAAGCGTACAAAGTCCATGTCCTAAAACAAAGATTACACATGAAAATTTTTAAGGTGGTCTTTATTATGGAAGGCTAAATAGTACATTTTCTAGAAAGGTGATAAAGTAGTAAATCCAAATGAGAAAAGATAGCATTATAAAATGGGTCTAACAGGAATGTGCATAGAGAAACTCTAAAAAAAAAAATCTATTGAGCAATTAAAGAATAACTAAAACAAGTATACAGTTTACAAGCAAATCATGAAATAATTCCTATGTATATAGGGTTTACTTTTGAAGTTTAATTTTTATAACCTGATAGTGTCAATAAAATGGATTTATTAATCTTTTTTACAATCATTAACACAATCACACTGGCTGAATACCTGCTAAATTAACTTCACTCTGAGCTCCCTGAACTTTTTTGTGTAGGGACTAGAATTCATTTGCTAGTTTGTATTACTCAAAGTATTTCTCATCTAGTTCAATTTCTGTGAGACACTAGACACAGCTGTCTAAAGAGACAGTTTCTCTACTTTGAGAGCGGCTGGGTTTTGCTTGTTTGGTTTGTTGTGTGTCACCAAGCAGATTTCAACTTAGGGAAACCGTAAAGACATGAAATCAGGTTCTCAGAGCTGTTTTCATCTACATCGTTTCCTTTCTGTTTCCATGGCCGCGGGGTGATTTACTAATCCTGGTGAGTTAGCTTATAAAGTCTGTGGGATGAACATATAAACTGGCAAATTTAGGTCCATCAGTAGTAGTTAGAGGTGGGTTGTTGTGGGAGTTGCAGCATCTTTAACTACAGTCAACTGAAAGTAAGTGTCCTTATCTATTTTAGACACTTAATCTTCCTATATGATTATGCCTTTGTAGAAGATTATTATTCCTGCTGCCCACAGAGGAAATTGTTTTAACAGTCAAAGAAAACATCTGAGAACAACTAGAAGTATGAAAAAAAATTGGGTTACTAGGTGAAGAGAAAGGCTAAAGACCCCACAAAATATGAATGACAGCATTGAACACTATATCTGTAATGATAAAACTTCCAAACTTTGTTCTCTAGATCTCTTGCTCTGTGCTATAAAGGAGGAGTTGGTTGATGGAGGGAATAAAAAAATTTGCTGGGGGCTACCTATCTGTTAGGTGGCCTAATGATAAGCTGTGCTGTGAATCCCAACAGCACATGCTTCAAATCCACCAGATGCTCTGTAGGAGGATGAGCAATCTCCGCCTGTGTGATTTACTGTCTCTGAAAACCTGCTGGAAGGTCACATATGAGTCACTTCTGACTTGACAGCAAGCAACAACCACCTAGTTCATAATCTGAAGTTCTCTTGACATTATGCCTGGGAACTCTTTGTCCAATATCCTTGTTGTCATCCTTTAATAAATAGACTGTCCAAAATATCCTTGCTGTCATTTTTTTAATAAATAGACTATCTATGTTCATTAAATTTCAAGTCACTGCCATTTCAAGTAGACTTGATAAGATGTCCACATCATATTATCTATTAGTGGTTACTGTATACAATAGCTACATGGAAACTGTGGCTCTGCATTCTAAAAAGATGTTTTCGAAGTAATCATTTATTTGCCTATAAAATGCAATCTCTTTGAGCCCATGAAAGACATTTCTCGCTGGTTTAAGTATTAAGAATAGATGTGCTTCTCCTTAAACGAAAGTTTTCTAAGATGGCCTGGAATAATTTGGAATGATTTTCTTTCCTCTGACCAGGTAGCTGGAAAGCTTGCACACTGTGACTCAACTAAAAAACAGGATTTTATATTATATAAACTGCCTTGAGATTCTGTATATATCTTCATAAGGAGACTGACTCCTCCATGAATCATGGTAGGGTTCTATAGAAAAACAATCATGTACAGATGAAAAAAAAATCCAATAAGATCCCAGTATTTAATAATACTTATAATGATTTTGACTTTTGGTAATTCAAGTAATAAAATGCAAATACACCTTAATTATAAATTAGACATATGTAAATAGCTTAAAAAATCAGACAGTTGAAGTTAAATCTCTGCCCTTGCAATTGGCAACAATAACATTTATTTTCATGATTCTGGTCTAATATTTACTCAAAAGAAAAATACCACGGTTGGTTGGGGGGTTTTGTTTTATTTTGTTTTTATGGAGATGTATACTTTTTCCCGAGGCATTTTGATTTTGAGTAGAAAGTGTTTTATTCTGTAATTGAAAACCCACTGAAATAGAAATTAGGTTTAAAATAAAACCCAGGGACTTGGACTCTTAAAAAAATAAAAAAATAGAGAAACAGAAAGATGGACAACAAAGCCTTCTAGTTTTAGGACCCAAATGATTCCTATTACCATGTCTCCCGGTTCTTTTCTAAACTGTCCAAGGTTTCCTATTTTTGGGATAAGTATCTCTAGGATATCATTTTGTAGCTTTTTCCCCCTGAACAGACCCATTACAAAAGGAGAAATTGAAAAGACAAACAACTTCGAGCCAAAAAAAGCCCCAGACCAGATGGTTTTACAAGTGAATTGTATCAAACATTCAGAGAAGAACTGTCACCAATTCTACATAAACTAATTCAGAAAATAGAAACAGATGGAATTCACCCAGACTCATTCTATGAAGCAAACATATCCTTGATACCAAACCCAGGAAAAGATACCAGCAAAATAGGAAACTATAGGCCAATATCTCTCATGAACATAGATGCAAAAATCCTGAATAAAATCCTTGCCAATAAAATCCAGTGATACATCAAAAAAATAATTCACTATGACCAAGTGGCATTCATAACAGGTATGTAAGAACGGTTCAATATAAGAAAAACAATCAATGTAATTCATCACATAAGCAAAGCAAGGAACAAGAAACCACATGATCCTGTCAATTGATGCAGAAAAGGCCTTTGACAAAATCCAACACACTTTCCTGATTAAAACACTCAACAAAATAGTATTAGAGGGGAATTTCTTCAACATAGTAAAAAGTATTTACACAAACCCGAGAGCCAACATTGTTCTCAATGGAGAGAGTTTAAAGGCAAGGATGCCCACTATTACCTCTCCTATTGGAAGTCTTATCAATAGTAATAAGACAGGAGAAAGAAATAAGAGGTAACCAAATTGGCAAACAGGAGGTAAAATTATCTCTGTATGCAAATGATATTATAGTATACTTTGAAAATTTTAAAGACTGAGCAAGAAAACTACTGGACATAGTTGACTAATTCAGCAAAGTGGCAGGATACAAGATCAACATACAAAAAACAATTGGATTTCTCTACAGTGACAGAGAATACAGAACTGAAGCTAAGAAAAGCAATACCCATCACAATAGCTAATCACAAGATTAAACACTTGGGAGTAAATCTAACTGGAAACACAAAGGACATATTCAAAGAAAATTACCAAACATTACTAAAAGAAACTAAAAGAGACCTGGAGAAATGGAAGAATATACCTTGCTCATGGATAGGAAGTATTAATATTGTGAAAATGACAATCCTACCAAAGGCAATTTACAGGTTCTACGCAATCCCAATACAAATACCAATTAATTCCATTCTTCCGTGAGATGGAAAAGGCAATCTCCGATTTCATTTGGAATGGAAAGAGGCCCCAAATAAGCAAAACATGAGGCAACTCCCTCCCTGATTTAAAATCCTACTACGCTGTCGTGGTGGTCAAGACAGCATGGAACTGGTATAATGACAGAAACATAAGTCAATGGAATAGAATTGAGAACCCAGAAGTCAGCCCATCTGACTATGCTCAACTGATTTTTGACAAGGAGATGAAATTGGTTAAGTAGGGAAATGAAAGGCTTTTTAACAAATGGTGTTGGCAAAACTGGAAAGCTATCTGTAGAAAACGCAAGCAAGATCTACACCTCACTCAATACACAAAAACCAACTCCAAGTGGATCAAGGACTTAGGACTAAAACCAAGTATTATAAACCTCATTAAAGAGAAGCTTGGAAGAACTCTAGAAGCCCTACTCCACAACATAAACAGTGTTCCAAGCATACTGAAAAATCTACAAGCAGGAAAGAATAAAATAGATGAACTGGACCTTCGAAGAATCAAATCTCTATGCACATCCAAAAACTTCTCCAACAGGGTAAAAAGGGAAGCCACAGACTGGGAAAAAAACAATTGGTAATGACATGTCTGATAAAGGACTTATATCTAGAAATTTATAAAATACTCAAGCACCACAACAAGATAAACAACCAAATTTAAAAATAGGCACAGGATATGAATAGATACTTCACAAAAGAAGACATTCAGATGGTGAACAAACACATGAAGAAATGTTCAAAGTCTCTACCTCTAAGAGAGAAGCAAATCAAAACAACTATGAGATATCATTTCACCCCAGTAAAAATAGCAGAATTTAACAGAACAACAAACAGCAAACGCTGGTAGGGTTGAGGAGAAAGTGGAACCCTTATTCATTGTTGGTGGGAGTGTAATATGGTGACACCACTCTGGAAGGAAGTATGGCGCTTTCTCAAAAAGTTAGAACTAGAAATACCATGTGAACCAGCAATTCCATTGCTGGGAATATACCCTTACGAAACCAGAACTGCCCTCCAAGCAGATATATGCTAACACATGTTTACTGCAGCTTTGTTCACAATAGCAAAGTGTTGGAAACAACCTAAGTGCCCATCAACAATGAATGGATAGAGAAGCTGTCACAAATTCACAAAATGGAATACTATGCTGCATTGAGAAACAAGGAACTCATGAAATATTATTCAGAATGGCTGACCCTGGAGGACATTATGCTGAGTGAAATATCTCAGTCACAAAAGGACAAATACTGCATATTGCCACTGTTGTAAAGTGGGACTGACATTGGGATTTGGGAAAAACTAAAAGGGGATAAATAATGTATACTGCATTGAAACTGATAAGGGAGAGAACTGTTTAGGAAGAATATATGATTAGGCATTATTGTCATGACAAGAGTTCAGAATGAAAGCTGCATGGTGGCTGGTTAGGGGGGATTGTATAACAATGAATTTTTTTTCCTTTACTTTTCAAAGAGAAAAGTGAACTAGGGGTAGGGGTGGGCCAGAAAGTGTGCAACAATGAATGAATGGAAATCCAAAGTCCCTGTATACTTTCATTAAAAAAAAAAGGTACTCTCGGGGAGCTCTGGTGGCCTAGTGGCAAGAAGCTGCACTGCAATCCCAGAGGAACATGGTTCGAATCCACCAGATGCTCTGCCGGAGAAGGAGGCGCAATATCCTCCTGTACCAGTCAGATCTGATTTGACGGTACACGCACACAAAATAATAAAAAATAATTAAAAAATTTACAAAAAAGGTACTCTCCACTATTATTATACATTTGCATGCCACTTTACATCATTTCACTGTGTTAAGCATTTACAATTTTCCTCACTTTTCAAAGGATACTCTGCAAAACTATTTTGGTGCACTCAATGCCTTTTAAAAAAAAACTACAACAACTTGGGACTATTTCTTTACAATAGATCTACAGAAGTTACCAGGTTAAAAAAAAATATGGATACATAGTTTAAAGGTTTTTAGCATATTTTGCCAAATGGATTTTCTAAAGGTTGCCCTGTGTAAGTTTGTGGATGCTATGAGAATTCGCCCAAGTTAAAAACATAAGAGATGACAGCTTTAATACATGTGTCAGATGACCTCAGCTGCTGCTGCGAGGGTTGTAGATGTCACTAAAATAACTACACAGAAATTTGTTGCCATTGAGTTGATGCAGACTCAATGCCATGTGTTACATAGTAGAACTGCTCCATAGGGCTAGCTTGGCTATAATTTTTATGGAAACAGATTGCCAGGTCTTTCTGCCAGACTGAAACTGCCCGTTATTAGGTACCACTGAGTTGACTACAACTCATAGTGACCCTATGAGCAACAGATTGGAACCTTGTTCAGTCCTGTATCATCTTCACAATCCCCAATATGCCCATTGTTACAGTCACTGTATTCCTCTTTCACTGATCCTAAACCTTTCTCAGCATGATGTCTTTTTCCAAAGACTGGCCCCTCCTGATAATATGCCAAAAGTTGGTGAAACAAAGTTTTACCATCCTAGCCTCTAAGGAGTACCTTGGTTGCATTTCCTCCAAGACAGATTTTTTTTTTCTGCTTGTTCTTTAGGTAGGTCATGGAGTATTCAGTACTCTTTACCAATAACATCAATCAAAAAGCAAAAGCATCAATTCTTCTTGGTCCAACTTTCAGATGCACAGGAAACAACAGAAAAGACTATGGCTTGGATCAGATGCACTTTAAAGTGGCATCCTTTAGCACGTAGGATGGGTCCTTGACAGATTTCCCACTGCAACACTTTTGATTTCTTGACTGCTGTCACCATGGGTGCTGACTGTAGATCCAAGTAAAAAGGAAATTACTACTGACAGCTTCAGTCTTTTCTCCACCTATCACGATGTTGCCTATTGGTCCAGTGGTGACGATTTCTGTTTTATTGATGTTGAGAAGGAATCCATATTGAAAGATTTAGTCTTGATCCTCTTATGTCATCTGTATAATGCAGGTTGTTGATGTGTCTTCCTCTAATCCTGATGCTGTCTTAATATTTGCTCAGCATACAAATTGAATAGGTATGGAGAAAGGATACAACCCTCACACATACCTTTCCTGAGAGGGTGAAACCAATTTGCAGGTTGTTGGCATGGATTTTGAAGCTCTGTCTCACATACTTTGGCCATGTTTCCAGGAGGGACCAGTCTTTAAAGAAGGGCATTATGCTTGGAACTGTGGAGGTACAGCACAGGAGAGGAAGATCCTGGATGAGATGGATTGACACAGTAACTTGGGTATTGGGGGTAGGTGTATCAGAAACAGTGAGACTGGCTCAGGATAGGGCAGGCTTCAGAGCTATTGTGCATAGGGTTGCTATGAGTCACAGTGAACTACCACAGTGTTACCTTGTTCTGTTCAGACAAGCGCTTCTTGGGGTATGGGTTCCACATGAGCACAATTAGGTGTTCTAGGATTCCCATTATTCTCAATGTTAGCCATAATTTGTCAGGATCCAGACAGTCAAATACTTTACAGTCTGCCAAGTATCCTCTGCCAAGATCCATCTATCAGCAATTATTTGTCTCATCCCAAAGCCCCTTCTGAATCCTTAAATTTCTGGCAGTTCTCTGTTCCAGCTGTGTTTTAAAAAATCTTCAGTAAGATTTTACTTGCTTGTGATATTAATGGTATAGTTCACCAATTTCAACACTGTTAGATCTATTTTTTTAATAGGAACAAATATGGATTTCTTCCAATTAGTTGGCCAGGTAGCTATCTTCCAAATGTCTTGGCATGGGCTACTGAGCATGTCCAGGACTCCATTTATTTGCTGAAACACTTCAACTAGTATTCCATCAATTCTGGGGGCCTTATTTTTGCCCGTGCCTTCAGTGCAGTTTGAACTGCTTCCTTTGTTACCCCTGGCACTTGGTCATAGGCTACTTCCTGACATGATTCAGTGTCAACCAGTTCTCTTCAGTAAAATGACTCTGTGTGCTCCTTCCATTTTCTTTTGATGCTTCCTGCATCAGTTACTATTTTGTCCAGAAAATACTTCAATATAGAAACTCAAGGCTTAAATTTGTTCTTCAATTCTTTCAGCTTGAGAAATGCTGTGTGTGTTCTTTCCTTTTGGTTTTCTAACTCCAGCTTTTTGCACATTTAATGATACTACTTTGCTCTGTCTGCTAGAGCTTATCTTTGAAATCTTCTGTTCAGCTATCTTATTTCAGCATTTGTTCCCTTTGTTTTGATTTCCTCCCCCTCCACTCCAAGTTTCAGAGTTCTTCTGATGTCCATTTTGGTTGTCAATGCTCCTAGGAGGGTATGAATCACCAACCTTTCAGAAGGAGCCAGGTGCAAACTGTGTTCCCCACCCATGGACCTTGCTCACAAAGGTCCAATTAAAGACTTCTTGTTGTTGTTTGGTACCTTTGGGTAGAGCATAGCAACTTCATAAGCAACAGATCTGAACCCTGTCAAATCCTGTGCAATCTTTATCATCTCTGACATACTTGAGCCCATTGCTAGTTGTTTGATTTTCTCTAACTTAATAACACCATCAGCAGCATCAGTCCAAGGTTGATTCCTATAAAGTGGAGATCAGATATGTATCTGCTTTCCACCTGTTTACCAAATTTGACACCAAATAGCCCTTTCCTGTAGCACCCTCTACTTAATAGCACTCTAAACTTTGCTGCTAGGTTTGGTAGGTAATTTATTGCAAAGGCCACACAGAACTCACAGATCATACTCAAGATTATAGGTTTATTAGTAAAAAAATAGATTACAATTCAGGATCAGGAAAGACTCAGGATACAGTTCTTTGCTCAAACAGCCTCTTTTCAGCCATGCCCACAGGTAGACCTCTCTCTGCCCCTTGGCCTCTTGGTCCTTTGCCTTTAGGCCTCTTAGCCCAGCTCAGCCTTTGGCCTATGCCAGCAAGTACTACAAAGTTCTTCAGGTCCAGAAATGTGGTAGACTAGTGGATAGATAGTTGTGCTGTCAACTCAAAGGAAGGCAGTTAAATTTCACTGGCTGTTTTTTGGGAGAAAGATAGGCAACCTCTTCCTATGAGATACGCTGCCTCCAAACTCCTGCTGGAGATATAGCTGTGAGTCAGTTCCAACTCAAAGGCAATGAGTTAAGATTGATAAGGGCTCAGAGGCACTTAACATTGCCAGCAAGCTTACTGTCCTAAGGCACTCAAGCTGGTAAACTTAGCTCCTTAGACAAGTGCCTAGAGGCACTCCAGTCCTCCAGCAAGCTTCTTGCCTAAAGGCATTCTGTACTTTTACCCCATGGGGCTCAATCAAGGTTCCAGAAACATCCTAGTCTGCCAGTAAGCCTCGGCTTGAAGCATTCAGCTCTTCCGCCACCCCTGTAAGGGTGGAAGGCCAGAAAGCTCACCATACCATCTCCTGGCCTCCCAGTTCTTCTGCCTCTGCTTCTTACCATCTTTTGCTATCTCCAGTGTTATTTGCTTCTGTCTCTTCTTAGTAGAAGACTGGTCCCCATTTTGCTTGGAACACCTCATTTAAAGCCTAGCAGGATAGCAAAACTAACCAATCTCTTCCTTAGGTTTCCATATACCTTATTCACATGGTTTCACCTATGTAATGATCTATGCACCTTATCTGCACTATTAGCAAACTGTTCAATCCCCTTGCTGGGTCCCTTTATTTGCATAGTACCATCCAGTCGCTCAGTGGGTATCCCAAGACCATGGCTAGAAAAGTCATATGAAAGCAATCTATCACACTATGGGGAGATTTTATTTTAATTTTTTATTTTATTTTTTAAGCTTGCCTGACTGGCTTTAAGTTTACCAAATCAAGCAAATAAACAGAATGCAGATCCAAACACACAAAGAAGAGTTATCAACATCAAAATCATGATGTTCTAGATGTGTAACACTCACTCAAACATCTTAAAACTGTCAAGCATGATAGGAATATAATCAAACTATACAGAACACTCATTAATTTACTATTTATTGAGTGTCTTACTGTGTTCCAGATGTAGGGTTTGGGGCTATGGGATATTAGGTTTGATACTAAAGTTCTTGATAATCTCAGTGTCCTGCCCCCTCAAGGTTTTCTCTCTGCACCTGTGTAATCACACAGGGCCACATCGGAAAAGTCTACAGCTTCCATGCCAAATACAATAGGACAAGTAAATCTTTGAAAACTTATTCTACCTTCAACTTCAATTATAATTCAAGAGGGGAAAAAAATCAATTCTAAACACTCGTTAACTCAATTGTATAGCAGTATTGGGTTTGAGGGTGAAAAGGGGAAAAGAGAGGAGGGGGAATCAATGATAAACAATGATGTGGAATTTTAATTATGACATTAATGAAAAATGCTTACTATGTTGTTGAGTCCAGTTTCCGACAGGTCAAACATCACTGTAACAGGTTTTCCATTTTCTCTTTTAGCATAACGTTCCAACCAGAAAGCTATAAGCTTCTTTTTGTCCATTGCAGTTTTGTTGTCTTTTACATGGTACTTCACCTTGATCCAGACTTTAGACCAAACAAAAGATAATAATATAAAAGTGTAAGAAAAATATTTATGTGTGTACACACACACACACACACACACACACACACACACACACACACTGTGTGGATGATTGCTGTCAAGTTGATTCTCCTGTTGTTGATCCCAAGTATGCAGAGTAGGACTGATCCATAATGCTTTCTGAGCTGTGACCTCTTGACATGTGCATGCATAGAAGATATATATTTCTATTTGGTATATGTGTAGTAGGCACATACCCTAAAACCAAAAAACCCAAACTTGTTGCCATTGCATTGATTCTGACTCAAAGTAACCCTACAAAACAGGAAAGAACCATAGGGATATACAGATCTATAGGGATCCAGTGCTCTACTCCTTACAACAGCAGATTGCCTTATCTTTCTCCTACTGAAGAGCCGATAGGCTCGAACCACTAATTTTTAGTTAGCAGCAGAGTGCAAAACCATTGTGAAAAAAAAAAAAAAAGAATTGGCATAATGGCCCTTTTGAAAATAGCTAGGGGAGGGGCAGGAGGAAGGATCAGCTGTCAAACAAACCAAGTTAGGAGGGGTTTTTATTATACGATATACATATAAATGCACGTATGTGTGAGTATATATAAATATCTCACTATATATATCCATATTTCATTCTTTTGACATTTTTTAGAATTCCTTTTACTTCTCAGATGAAAAGAATTCCTTTTTTTAATACAAAAAACAGTGTGCAAAAGGAAACATTAATTTAAAGAGCAGTCAAATGGTGAAACTTTTTTTTTCGTAAGACATACATAAATAGTTAAGTAAGGGGAGAAAATACAGTTGAACAAACAGCATTTGCTAATAATCTGAAAGTACTCCTTATTCTGCTTATTGAACAAGAAAGCCATTGTTTCCTGTCAAGCACTAGAAATAATGCTCCACCCAGGGAAAAGCAGAGACAAAGGCAGGAGGGAGGCACTGGGACATAAGAGGCCAAGGAAAGGAATGCACCCTGGGAGCCGCAGGTGAACCACTAGGGATGGAAAACCTGACAGGGAAGAGCCAGTGGTGAGAGGAAATCGCAGAGAGATTTACTGTCAAAACAAGGACAACTCACATGCTACACAGGGCAAATAAATGAGAGGAACCCAGCATGTGTACAAAACTGACTTGTCAGAATATTTGCTCAGCATGGGGCTCTATCCTGCTGAACTTCAGGCGAGGGGATGAGGGAAGAGAGCCAAGGGAGTTATCTCACCCATAGAAATGAGTCTTACTGTTCTTTTCACTATTACATGAATTTAGGAAGAAGCTAAGAGGAGAAGACAAAGGGAACTTACAAAAGGAAAAAAAGAAAAAGAAAAGGCATGCCATTTAGCAACTGTTCAGAGATTTTCCTCAACCAATAGTGGGTTGAATTTTAACATCAGTCAACTCGGAAGGAAGATAATGACTCTGAAATCAGTGATCTTAGCTGTGTTGTATAAAAGATGCAGCATTTGTTTTTATGGCCTTTCCCTTCTTTTATTGTAAACAGTACATATAACTATTGAAGATTTCATATTTGGTTGAGACAGTTGTAACAATCCCAATTTTAGGAAACTTGATGTGCATTACATTTGGAGAAAGAAAAGGCTGCTTCTTATTCATCAAGTTGAGCTAGCTAACTACTTTTCCAAATCTTGGTAAACCAGTAGAGAAGCTGAAGAATTAAGTATACTTACACAGTTTGTTCCCTTCTTTATCATAACCGTGGAGATAAATAACACCAATTTCCAATAACTTCTTGGGAATGGAGGATTCATTCAGGTCTAAGAAGTGATAAACTCTGATCAGTAATTATAATTTTGTGGCTTAAAAAGAAAATTCATAATACTAAGGTAATGCGACATAGCAGTTTTGATATAAAAAAAAGAAAGCTTATTAAAACATCTGGAGTAAGAATAATTACCTTTGAGAAGGGAAAAAAGAAACTAAGGAAAGGTTTACACACAGTAATAATTGTAGAGGGTTGACAGGGCTGGGAGGAGAGAAAGGGAGCAGAGATTAGTGAATGGATAGGTAGAGGGAAGCAAAAGGAAGGGTACAGCAAGGTTGTGATAAGATGATGTAAAGGGGGGAAAAAACCCCTCTATTTCCTTTACCACACCACTCACTTATTCTTTTATGCGGAGAGATGTAGTAATCAAATCTTGGCTGCATTTTATGTCATGACTTGTAAACAAATACCACTGCTGGACATTTAATTTTAACATGCCAGTAAATACGCACAATAGAGACTCAGAATTAATATGGAAATTATAACAAAAGCCATGGTGTTCTCTCTACCAAAACCAAAATCTTTTTTTTTTTTCACATAATGTGATGTCCAGCAGACGAGAAGATATTTTATAACCTTAGGGCAACTGGAACAGAGTTCAACGTTAGATCCTTTAGCAAGGAAGGGTCGGCCATGCAGCAAGTCATCAAATGCTAAAATGCTGAAGCTTTTCTTCCATTCCCTAGTAATCCCAAGAACTTTCAAAAATCTTTTTCTTTCCCTATTCCTTTTTATCTCCATAGTATGCCAACAGAAATTAGGCACTACATAGGGAAAAAAAATTGCTGTGTTTAAAAGTTTATTTCTGTCTCAAATGATTTAAAAATGTCAGATTTCTGTTTCTAATTAACAAATGTGTCCTTTTTTGAAAAAGTAGCTACAGTACTTGTTTTTACAGTCCTTTTAAAAAAGTGTACTTTTACAAAATAATTTCTTAAACATTCTATCTATATTTGCTTGTTGACTTTTTGTGTTAGGTCATGAGACTCAGTGAACCCAGTTTATAATCACAAAGGTAGGTAATCCTCCATACCTCACAGGTAGTGGTTGTTAACAGTTTCTTCTCATGAAATTTTGAGGACTACAGAGGTAACAAGTACCTTCTCCTGTTAAGTACAGGCATTATAGGATTATCTTTATGTTTAAGAACTCCTCTTAACAGGAAAAATCACCTGTTACTTCTCTAGTCCTCGGGAGAAAGAAGAATCCAGTGGAGGATCGCTATGGGTCAGAATCAACTCTCCAGTAGAGGTTCCCTTGGAGCCTATGGAGGCACAGTGGTTCAGTGGTAGGATTATTGCATTTCACAGAAGAGACCCTGGTTTGATTCCTGCCCATTGAATCTCAAGTGCAGCCACCATTCATCTATCTGTGGAGGCTTGCATGTTGCTGTGGTACTGAACAGGTTTCAGTGGAGACTGCAGAGAAGATGGACTAGGGCAATTTATTTCTGGAAACCAGCCAATGAAAACTCCATGGCTAACAGCAGGCCAATCCATGATTGATCATGGGGATGACAAGGACCGGGCAGTGTTCCAGTCTATTATGCTTGGGGTTGCCATCAACTGGGGGCTGATTCAAAGATATTGTCTTGATACTCTTTGATGGCACAGAACTATCCAAGCACAGATTAGAAGCCACAGTTAAGTGAAGGATCTGAGTGTGGTTCTCGTCTCTGGTGATGTGATTTCCTTATCCATGATTCCACACATAAGACCAGTATTAATAAGAAGTGTCATTGAAATTATTATTTCATCATTTTAAAAAATGATATTCTTATATTTATTATGACTTCCAAGAAGCGTGGCAAATAGACACAATAATTATAAAACAGAAGCTACTATATCATATTGTCACAGTTAAATGGAACAGCCTACCATTGACAGCAAATTCCTTCCTCCACTGGAAACTTTCATCCAGCATCTTCAGTGTTTCATCTATGACGTTATGTCTCCAACATAAATAACTTTCAACCCAGTTATCATCTTGCTGTAGTCTTTCAACATCACGTGGATCATATTTATCTGATTTATCTAAGGAAAAACAACAGTAAATATTCCAGTCAGTTTATTTAGGTCATGAATAATAGCAAACACTGAGGCCCAAGGAGGGAGCTCTAGCAGCCTAGTCATAAGGAGTTGCACTGGCAACTCTAAAGTACATGGTTCAAATCCACCACCTGTTCTGTGGGAGAAAAATGGGCAAGCTCTTCCTGTGTCTTTGAAAACTCAGTGGAGCATTTGTTCTGACACAACACTACACAATAACAACAACAGCAAGGCTAAAGGAGAAGAAAGAAGATAATACCACGCTACTTGAGCAGAAACAGAGATGAAGTTCAGATGAAAATGTCGCTAAAAGGACTGATAGTGAAGAATTTCTGAGAGTGAAGAAAATTAGGTTCTCCTTAAGTCTTAAGTAAGCTATTGAAGATTAAAAATTTTTTAAAAATCACAGTAAAATATTTGACCCAACTATTCTCTGAAATGATAAATTAACATTTAAGAAAAAGAATTATTTTATTGGAACTTGAAATCTTTGTCTGTAAAGAAAGGACTAAGATGTATTTAAGAAGACATTTGTTTTGCAACTATCATTTAAAAAAGTGAATTAAAACCAAAATGGAAAACTGGCTATGCAGGCAGCATTGTGCTACTTGTATTATCAGGCCCTGTGGCCAACATTTGCAGTAACTTAGTACAATAGCTATTTCCAGTAGTACTAATTTCTCATGATTTGCCTACACACAACCTTTAGTCCTGATACTCCTCCTTCTACACTGTGTTCTCAGGTTGGTTTTTTT